CCCCTTTTGCCCTTTTTACTGGGATTAATAAACGGGATTATCTAATGGGCCGGTCTAATTGGGCCCTGTATCAGAGGCCCGTTTCACAAAAAAACCCAAAACCTGTAGTAAGTGTTGGCAACACTGTGTTGCTGTGATTAGTTTATTTTAAATCTCTAGTTCTCAAGGGGTTAGTTGATTTAGTAGAATAACCGGATTTGTAAAGTGGTTTTTGAGTCGCATTGATTATACGCTAGTGATGAATCTTCATTAAAAAAACAAACTCACCAGCCTCCTAGACCGAACTTCCATGTGTGAAGAAAGTGAAAAAGTGATCACTAGACCACTAGATTAAGAAGATCAAAAACAATTACAGGCATATTGTTTCTTGTTTGGTGAGTCCAATATAAATGTACCCCATTGTTTAAATGGTATAAAATAAAACTATAATTTTTTACTTTATTGGTCAATAAAGATGAAGATATATATATATAGTGAACCACCAAAGCTTTTCTTCTCTTTGCCTTGTTCTTTAACTTTGTTAGACATGGAATCTTTTGTTAAATTATTTATTTGGGAATCGATGTTAGTTTCGAGACCAAGAAATAATGATTCATTATATTTCTTATTAAAATAAAACGAAATTAATGATTTGATTGGATGTGTGAGCATTTTAGGATCGCATCCTTAAGGAAGAAACCACGACTGCTCACTATTCTAATGCCTAGTTGTTTATGCCTTTTTCAGATTTTATACAGATTCTTGGACCACTTTTTCTTCAAAGCTGAAAAACAAACGTCATGCCGTCTCCTGCTTTAAATCCATGGTTGAGCTGCCGTTTTCCCACTAGTCCAACAATATTTTCCTTTCGGAGTCTAATCACGAGAGAAATAAAATGCATTTCATTCTCATTTCTTCTCTTTTGCTCCACTACAAGAGAATACATATCAAATTTCGACCGAATAGGCGGATTTCCATTCATTTTTCTTTCTTTTATATATCTTGTTCCATTTATCATTTTGATAGTTCAATCCAAACC